GAATATCTCGGAAGAAACGAAAAATATATCTGAATTTGATTTAAATAAAATGCTCTTTGATACTGAATACGAAATATATAATGTAGAATCGACAAATGATCATAAAAAACGAATAGAACGTTTGAAACAAGTAATAATAACTGACCACATGGACGAAATTGAAAAACAATCTATTTACGAAATATGCGAACGATATAATAACATATTTCATTTGGAAGGGGATGTTTTAACATTTACCAATGTCGGTACACATTCTATTAAGTTAAAAAAGGATCAGCCACCTATCTATCGTAGACCTTATAGATTACCACACGCACAACAGGAGGAAATAAATTCTTGAACTGAACTTGAAAACGTTATGGGTCCGTTAACAGCCTTCGTTTGCACTAGATGTAACCGCGAACCAGCCTGTAATTCAATGTGTTTAAAAATCGCAGAAATATTAGATCAATATTATATTCAACACCAAATTTACAGTGAAGAACATATTCGATAAATAAATTAAACAAAACAAAAAATAAAATAAAAATAATAATAAAATATAATACGTGCATAAGGAAATAATACGTAAAATAATATCCTATAATTTAAATAAAATAATATTACGTGCATAAAAAATATAATAATATATACATATACGTAAATAATATTCTAATAATACTTATATAACAATAACTTTTAACTATTTCAGAAATTAAGAAGAAAACAAAAAATATATATAAAAACAAACGTGAAAATTTTAAGTACAAAATGGGTGAGAACATACCACCTGTAGCACGAACCGTTCGAATGCAACTACAAACATTTGAGTTTCTGAGAGAATTAAAAAACGAATTAATTGAATCAACCAGTCATACACAAATAACTCGAGGGGAAGTAGTCAGATTACATTGCTTCCCAGAACATATAAGAAGGGCGAATAGTAATATGACCATACCTTTCAGGCCGAATTTCTTAGCACGGGTCATGATCCATGTTAATGATTTTGTACGCACAGTTATCTTAAGACCAAATCATAATCGACCAATGTGTGTAGAGTTGGGTTTACTAATAGAACAACTAATCAGACGACGCGACATCATTGAAACGATTTTCGAAGAATAACCTCAGGAAACTATATCATATATCAAATATCATATATCATGTATCATATATCATATATCATATACATAGCAATAAATACTAAAAAAAAAACCAATTTAAGTTTTTTTAAAGAAAAATAATTATTTTATTTTAGCTCACAGGTACGCTTTTTTATAATGGATTTCGAGTTCTTTACCGTCAGTAAGAACGAAACCTTACTGGTATCCGGCGCGATATCGAATAGTTTAGAAAAATACCAACCCAAGAAATTGGAGGGGAGTCCTCTTATACTTACAAAGGATGATAAGTTAAGAAGATTCCGCCGATGCGACCTAAAGAAAACAGTGCAGAATATCAAACGAGTATTCCGAGGGAAAAAGGCAAGAGTGATTGAACCATTGCTGGAACAGTTATACAATAGTGTAAGTCGGCAGGGGGAATCAACCTTGTCTACGGTATACTTGCAAAGATATTTGCACATAAACGATAGGGAGCCACTAATAGTATTTTGGAACGGAACGTCAGATATCACGATAATTAAGCGTTTAAGATTAACAGGAATTTTAGCATATTTAAATATATCGGCAATTAGCGTTAGGAATAATGACGAATTTGTATTAGAATTATCAAACCTAGAGACTAAGGAAGTTTTATATTCAGGTTATTTAGGTAAATTAAATAAAAATGGTAGAATGTTAGGACTATCAGAAGCTCATGAACTAGCATGCGATATTAATCATAATATTACACATTGTCACGATCCAGTTGCAGACGTAATTTTAACGAAATGCCTATTCAATTACATAGTAACAAAGATAAAGCCCATTAAGTTATATAAATTAGCAAAAAAATATAAAAGGAATTTTAAGGCAAAATAAATAATAATTATTAGTCAATAAATAAATATAACACAAAATAAATTAAATAATGAAAACAAATACATAAATTAACATTTATTATATGTTTTAGATTCATTGAGGAGCTAAAAACAATTTTAAAAACAGAAGTACATATTTATAACGTTAAAGAAAATAAGTTACAATCCGTATGCTTTAATTGGCATATATTAAAGGCAAACAAGAAAATAAATAACCACTACGATCATAGAACTTTAAATAAAATAACTAGAAGCCTTGAACTTTTCATAGATGATCATTGTAATGGAGAATGCAAACAATTAGTAAAAATAATAGAAAACACTAGAGATCCAACTTACATGATGAATTACCTTGAATAGAACCATAGTTGCATATGTCTGTGACAAATTTAACAATTATTCACATAAATTAGTATATAGGTGGAAGATAAATATTATTATTATAAAAGGGGAAATACTTAAATTGTATACTTACGTAACGCTTATAATGTTATAATTTCAGGTACCTATATTATTTTATTAAAGATTATTAATCATTTTTATTAACACTAATTGTTTAATTAAATCATGTATTAATTTATTTTACTAACCACAATTAAAATTGTAAACAATAATAATAATAATGATGACATTAAAATTGTAAAATGCTCACATTATTGTAATCAAATGTAATACTATAATCAAATTGTTAACTGCATACAAAATTTAAAATGTCAATGTAAACAATGTAATTCAGCCATTGTAAACTATTAATTAACGATGTTAAAGATTCTTAACCCTTAAAGGTTAACAATCTTTTTTTTGGTAGGGAGGTGTAATGGGATTACGCAATATCATATATTTGCTCATAATAACAACCAGGAATGCGACCACACCCAAAAGTGTTTTCGACTACGAATACCACTTTCATAGTCGTGAGGTCCATATCAAGGACGACTGTACACGCGCCGCTCACTTTCAAAGGACGCCGCCACCATATATATAGGGGACAGCGAGACAGCCTGAGTTAGATGTATCCAGAGACGAGAACACCACACGACTCGCTTAGCCGCCCAGCCATCACACACGACTTACACGGAGATTATCAACTTCGGAACGAACTACGATTCGCTACAATCAACACTATTATTCTGCTTGTTTTGTCTGGTTTAATATAATACATTTGATTACCATTCTAATTGACTATTATTATTTATCAAGTACACCAGCTTTTGGATCCCTGAAGGGCCGCATGTAACAGTTCGCTGTATTTGTGCAACTCTATTTGCTACAAATGTCTTCAATTGCGCTGTTGGCGACTTTATCCATGCCAAGGCCACTGTAGAATCAGACCAGGCTATCACCCTTTCGATCTTGATTCTAGTTAGGTTTTGGCACACAAAATGTAATAATCGAGCTAATAACAATGCACCGCAGAGCTCCAATCTTGGAATCGTGATCCGTTTTGACGGGGCGACTTTCGATTTACCCATTAACATAAAACATTTTGCCGAATTGTCCGGTGCCACGACACGGAGATATATCACCGCGGCATATGCTGCTTCGGAACTATCAGAAAAACCGTGCAACTCATATTTTTCGTTGTTACTAGTCACTCGACGGGGAACTCGGATCGACGACAACTCTGGCAACTCTTGGTGATAACGTGTCCAAGCCTCTGCCGCTTCTTGTGGTATGTTGTCATCCCAACCAAGGTCTATAGACCAAAGGTACTTCATTAACCTTTTAAGCTCGGTTGTGACAGGTGATAATAATCCAAGAGGGTCGTAGATACGCGCGATTTCCGAGAGGATGGCACGTTTGCTATAACGCACTGGGTTCGGTCGGACATTGTAGCTTAACTTATCCAGATTTGGAATCCATTTAAGTCCTAGAACATTGGTGGTCCCACCCTCGGTTACATCGAAGGTGACTGGGTCCGTTTGTCGGTGTGAGCTTGGTACAGCTTCCAAGAGCGCACGAGAATTACTACTCCATTTTCGAAGCTCAAACTGCCCTTTCCCCATTACTAAGCTCAAATTGCGTTGTAATTCTAGTCCGTTTTCTACACTGTCAGACCCAGTGGCAACATCGTCAACGTACATGTCTTCTCGTACAACTTGTCTCACTTCAGGATACTGTTTAGCTTCATCCTCTACTAATTGATGCAGGGTTCTTATCGCGAGAAATGGAGATGAACGCTGCCCGAAAGACACGGTTGTCATTTAAAATTCACTTACTGGTTCTGCCAATGAAAACCGATAGAGCAAGCGTTGGTATTGATGGTTTTCTGGTGTCACTTTAATCTGCCGGAACATCTGTTTGACATCAGCAGTAAAGACTATAGTATGCAACCGAAAACGTAAAACTATTCCCGGTAAATCTTGTTGCAATTTTGGTCCCGGGTATAGGTTATCATTCAGCGACATCCCAGAGGTCGTTACAGCCGAAGCATCGTACACCACTCGTACTTTTGTGGTGGTTCTCTCGAGCTTTATCACTGCGTGATGCGGAGTATAGTAGACTGGTTCTACCCCACACTGAGCCTGTGGTACTTTTGTCATGTGACCACTGTCTAAGTAATCCTGCATTGCTGCATTATATTGCATACAAAGGTCTTCCGACTTTTCTAATCTGGTTTCAAGTCGATGAAGTCGCTTAAGAGCCGTGGCCCTTGACTCTCCTAATTTCGGTGGGTTGGTGACAAATGGCAGATGAACAATGTATCTACCATCATCTTGTCGAGATGTAGTGCTGGTATATATTTCCTCACATGTCATATCTGCTGGCGTGTTCCGTTCAGCCATAGGTACTTCTTCCAACTCCCAGAATCTTTGCACAGATTGGTCTATGGATTCTAAGGTTGTATACAATGCAGTCGTAGTCCTCTCTTCCGTACCCGCGATACGTCCCATCAAGATCCATCCAAATATGGTGGACAACGCGACGGGTTCATTCAGACCACCTTCTCGCTTATCCCCACAAAGGAGATACGGAAAAACATCAGCTCTGAAGAGTATATCGATTGGTAGTGACTCGTGATACGCAGGATCCGCTAGAGTTATATCCAGTGAGGCCAGTCGTTCTTCCATATTCGAGCTGATGGTGTTAGCCCGGTTATGCGTGGTAAAATGAGCACCTCCTCTGTAAGGGTTGGCGACGTTTGTTCATTTGGTCTGACTAATACTTGTGTAAATCCTCTTACTGTTGGCACGGGCGTACCTGCAAGAGCTTGGATAGTTACATTACTTTTGCGTCGAGACAAACCTAGGCTCTTGAAGCAATGTTCGGTTATAAAACTGCTCTGACTTGCACTGTCTAACAGTGCACGTACCGATCTAAACTGTCCATCAGAATCTTGTACGGAAACCGAAGCAGTTGATAGAAGCACACTGGTACGGTAATTTCGAATGTCAGAAGATACGTGGACTCTAACTTCTGGTTCTATCGTATGCCCATCTTCGCTAGCTGAGTCATTCCGGGTGCTCAGATGCAGCCACGTATGATGCCGTCCGCTACACTCTACGCATACTCTGTCGGATTTACATTGTGGCGCTAAATGTTCACTAAAACACATAAAACACCTCTTAAGGTCCTTGATTGTCTGATGTCTTTGTTTTGGTGTCATTTTTTTGAAACGGGTACAGTGTATTAGTAAGTGTCCAGGTTCTGCCTCACATACTTGACACTTAAACGTCTTTTTCTGTGGTCGGTTGGATGGTGAACTCACTTCCTTGGACGGTGCTCCGCTATAGAGGGCCATAGTCCGGTTAGGTTTGATCCATTTGTGTTTAGGTTGTCCTCCGTCAGCCTTACCTTGACTAACTATAGCTGACTTACTAAACTTGGTAAGAAAGGTTACAAACTCAGCTAAGGTGGGATCGGTGGTTGTGTCAACTGCTAGTTCCCACTGGGCTCGTAATTGATGGTCGAGTTTCTTTTGTAGTTGGTGAAGTAAATTCGGACTCCACTGATCCACTGGATACTTAAGATTTTCTAATGCCCCAATGGCACTAGTAATAGTGTTCAGAAGTTGAACGATAGAGTTTCCATTCCCGACTGTAGCGTTCGGTGCATCAAACAGTTCGTCCAAATGACTCTCTGCTATATATCGTCGATTTGCATACCTAGCTTCTAATTGCGACAGCGCGAGTTCGTAGTTGCTATCGGTGAGCATTAAATTCGCAATTAATTTCAAAGGCTCCCCTTCCAGATATGACTTTAAATACCCGAATTTGACGACAGGACGTATATTTGTATTTTCATGCACAATCGTATCAAACAGGTTCCTAAATCCAGTATACGCCTTTGGATCACCACTAAACTTAGCAATCGTTAACTTCTCAAGTGGAACGACGCTCGCATTACTAGCACGAGAACTATTTGATAAGCGCGATTCCTCGGAATTTGCCATGCTTGATTCTGGTAGAAACTCGTCAGCTAGGATTTTGCAACTGAAGTACTGCTCCTCGAACTCAGCCCTCAGCCCATCCAAATTAGGGACAACATCCTCCGTCCCAGGTTTACCATTGTGCTTAATTAAAATTCCCAACTGTGTTTCAAAATCTTCGTACATACGTTCCAAGGTTGCATACATTACCTTAAATTTTGATTTAGCAGTTTTATCATTTTTATTCTTCGATAATGCCTGACCTGCTTCATCTATCCGTTGGACCCTCTTCTGTAAATCTTGCACACGGATCTTCGCTTCTTCAAACACCCCCATAGTTAAAAGGGAGAAATAGGTACAATAAAATTACTTAATAATTTATTTGTTTCTGTATACACTCTGTATACACTACTGGTACAGATATAATTAAATTGTCAAATTTGGTAATTAATTAGGTCAGATTGCGGCGGTACTCAAGCCGCCCGCGATCTCAAGGTCGACCGGTATAGCGTCTTCGTCGTCGACAAGTTCGGGTAACAAGCCACGACCACGGACAAGGTTCAAAGTCCAACTTTACAAACTGGACGTGCTGTCTCCTACACAATATATAATAACAACCACGGAATGCAAAATTTAATTATTCTCTCTAATAGTCGGAGTTCTGACTCTTAGGACATTCAATATATTCAATTAAAATATCCTAGGCACTAAGGACCATATATCTTTACCATATATCTTTGCAAGTATACCGTAGACAAGGTCGATCCCCCCTGGGGACTTAAACTTTTGTATAATTGTTCCAGCAATGGTTTAATCACTCTTGCCTTTTTCCCACGGAATACTCGTTTGATATTCTGCACTATTTTCTTTAGGTCGCATCGGCGAAATCTTCTTAACTTATTATCTTTTGTAAGTATAAGAGAACTCCCCTCCAATTTCTTCGGTTGGTACTTTTCTAAACTATTCGATATTGTGCCGGATACCAGTAATGTTTCGTTTTTACTGACGGTAAAGAACTCGAAGTCCATTATAATAAACTAATTATTTTTTAAATTAATTGGTTTCTAAGTAATTTATTGCTATGTATATAATATATGTTTCCTGAGGTTATTCTTCGAAAATCGTTTCGACGATCACACGCCTCCTGATCAACTGTTCTATTAGTAAACCCAACTCTACACACATATGGGTCTATTATGATTTGGTCTTACGATAACCGTGCGTGCAAAGTCATTAACATGAATCATAACTCGTGCTAAGATATTTGGCCTGAAAGGTATGGTCATGTTATTATTCGCCCTTCTTATATGTTCCGGGAAGCAATGTAATCTGACTACTTCCCCTCACTTTATCTGTGTATGATTGGTTGATTCAATTAATTCGTTTTTCAACTCTCTGAGAAATTCAAATGTTTGTAGTTGCATTCGAACGGTTCGTGCTACAGGTGGTACGTTCTTACCCAATTTATATTTTAAAATTTCTACGTGTTTTTTTTTATTAATTTTTTGTTTTTCTTCTTAATTTCTGAAATAGTTAAAAGTTATTGTTATATAATTATAGAATATTATTTTACGTATATATATATATTTTTATGCACGTAGTATTATTTTATTTATTTCATAGAATATTGTTATACGTATTATTTCTTTTATGCACGTAATAATGTTTTATTTTATTATTTATTTTCATTTATCTTTATTTATTTAAATTATATTATTATTATTTGTTTTCCTCTTGATATTTCCTGAAACACAACTATTATTATTATTAAATATCTATAATTTACATGATATATTTATTCCATTTATCCTTATTATCTGCTTATTGCTTATTTTATATTTATAACTTAGTATTTATTATTTTTATTAATATGTTACGTATTTATTTTCGTTTTGTATGTTATATTATTTTTTTTGTATAGTTTATTTATTATTAGTTAAATTTAAAGTAAATAATTCGTTATGACTAGTGACTAGTGACTACTCTTAATACATTTTTATTCTATTTATCTTGGCGACGGTGGTGGAGTAAAGGGTGTCTCTTCATAATTTCGTACGTATTCATTTCTATTGGGTGTCCTATATCTAACTATTCTGCCGGGTAATTCCATGACTTCTGTGGTCCTGATATACTTGTATTTTATCATTATATAAATTGCTATTATTAGTATAATAGATATTGATGCTACTACTATAACAAATTACTGTGTACAAATTATATTTATATTAAACTTAAATATCTTATTATATTCTTATAAAATTAAAACCATCTTACATAATCCGATATATCTCCAGTATCGTGCAAAAATCTCATATAATCTATTAATCGTTTACATGTGGGTGTCACTGAATCTGATGATATAATTAGTGTTAGAATTCGCGTAATTTTCGTTATTTCGAGAGTATTAAATGGTTCTTCCATAAAATTATTCGCGGTATTAATATGTCCTATTAAACACCTCGGCGTGTGTTCCGGTCCTAAAGTATTTGTTTCATGGATTTCTTGTTCAATCGCCTTTCCTAGTTCCACAATGAATTTCCTTTGTCTGTTCCTAAAATTAAAATTTATTTTTATCGTATTTATTTTATTTGTTATTATTTTTTTTTTAAAAATTGGTTGTATCGTGGTTTCCATTTATTATTTCTTTCTCCGGTTTCAAAATGAATGTTCTATTTCTATTCCTAAAATTAATATAATTATTCTAACTTAATATTGCTATATATACTTATTATTTTTATTATTGCTATTTTTTTTTAATTGACTTGTGCGTCATTATAATATTTTTTTTTACGTTATTTCTATGTACAGTAATGACCTTGCGGCCTCGCTGTATAGCTACATTCTCGTTCCCTATAACTGCTGTGACCTCGTACGGTCCTAGCCAGATTGGGTCGAGTTTCGTTCTATGATTATTATCTTTTAATAGTACTAAATCATTAACGTATAGTTCTTGTGGATTTTCATTTTTATCATAACGTTCCTTACTTTTTATTTTATTTTTTTAATTAAATGATCTCTAGCTATCTTATGTGAAATTTGCATATTTTCTTTTTTGTTTTTTTTTTTGAATATATAATCGTCGTAATTGTAACGTGGTTCAGGTTTGGCCTTCGAGTTAATCGGTACCTCCAATGTACATCTATGAACTAATGCGTATGTTTGAAAATTAGTAGAAATATGTATACTGTCGACTTATATACGAAGAATGTAAAGGGTAATAAATGATCCCAATTATTTAGATTCTTATCTACATAATGCCGTAAGTACTTGGCTAAAGTCCTATGAGCGCGTTCTAAGGGGTTACCCTGTGGTCTGAATGAACTTGTGTTAACCTTTTCTATTTTTAATATTTTACAGACATTTGCAAACGTTTTCGAGAGGAAATTAGTTCCTTGATCCGTGAGTATTGTTTCTGGTATACCGCGTACACATACGAAGTGTGTAACAAAGGCTTCCTCAACAGTATTTGCCTTCTGGTCAGGAAGTGGAATTCCTAAAGTGTAACGTGTCAAATCGTCCTCCATCGTTAAAATCTATACATTATTGGACAGTGTAATCGGCAAGGGCCCTACTATATCCATAAATATTTTTTCGAATGGTTTAGACGAAGTGGATGTAATAGCCATTGGTTGTTTTATGTGCCGATTTGATACCTTATTAACCTGACATGACGTACAATTCTTTATATATTTTTTAACGTCTTCTTTCATACTCCTCCACATAATTTGTTGTTTGATGCGTTTAGTAGTTCTATTCACACCTAAATATCCGCCTACTTTTGAATCGTGAAATTGTGATAAAATGACTGCTTTTTCTTCTTCACTATATTCTACATTTGCACATATAATTATTTCTATATTTGTTTTGCGAAATATGTATCGCAACATTGACCTTATTTTTTTTCCCATTCTAAATCATCGTGATCGCCTAACTTGCTGGCTAATTTATTCAGATTGTTTTCCTTACAAAATAGTTTTAAATTTATTAATGATACATATATGCTTTCGTAAGTGGCCTTCTGTCGGTTTTTATTTTTCGTTACTAAGAATATTATAAACCTGTTTTCTTGTTTGAAATAGGGTGTGTCTCCTATTACTTTACAAGTATTATACTAGTATACAAGCAATATTGTACCGTTTCCAAATTGTTTTTTTAACTGATAATTCGTTCCTGTTCTAAAATTATATTGCTTGGCAATTTCTGATACTATATTATATTTTTTTGGTGAATCTATTAGTGTACCTATAGTTTCTTTTACATTTATATTTGTGATAATTTGTGTTCCTAACTTTTCGATATATTGTTCGTATGATTTGTTTTTTATTTCCTGAATTGAATATATGCATGTGAGAGTATCTATATTTGAGTTTAGAACTCCGGGTTTGTGACGTATTTGTAATTGATTTGTGTTAGCGGCGAATGAATTAAATGTTATATGATTATTTTCTAAGGTTGAGAATATGTGGAATATTCGTGAGTCGGTTGTTCCGCGATAATCTGGTTTATCGTACGAGTACCGCGCCTCTCGTTCGACACGTTTTCGTTTTCCGAATGATTAACGTTTCTACTCTCATCGTTTCTCTTTTTATAACACGAGTCGATATTATGACCAGTTCGATTACAGTATGAACACGTAACTACCTGTATATTATAATTCGTAGGTGGTTGCGTAAAATTATTCCTATCAGGTTGACGGTTGTTATTGCCATTGCTCGCATAACTAGGTCTCGTATTATTCCTACATTGAGATGCATAATGATTACCATTACAATTATAGCATTTTATTGCTGGCCTATTGATTGGTTGAGAAAAATTGTTTGCTCACGGATAATTATTTGTCCTTACAGGGTTATTTGGTCTAATGTTTTCGTTGTTCTTATTTTCGTAATTCGATCTGCGCTGGTTATAATTTTGTGAATGAATATTCGAATAATGGTTCCTATTCTCCTGTTCTAATCTTAGTTCCACCTGTTCCGACATAGCAAATTGTTTCGCGATCTCCAGGGTTTTGGGATTACGAGATTTTACTATTGTTCTAATCGGTTCTACTAATCCTTTAATAAATATCGCTAGAGTTTGTTCCCTTAATATATCATATATAATTTTTGCTTCTGCAGCTTCTTTGCCTAATGTACTTACGGTACATAACTGATAATATAGTTTCTCTACTCTATGACAATAATCATTTGCATCCTCATTGTGATACATTCTAAACGAATTTAATTGAAGTTGTAACGACGATGCCGTGGTTGTTACATCAAATGCATCTGTTAAATATTTTTTTATAAACTGCCATTTCGATACATTTTTGTATTTAATCATTTCTAATGCTCTAC